CATCACAGCTCACAGCAAACTCCAACTCCTGGTCTCAAGCAATTCTTCTGCCTCTGCCTCCCAAGTAGCTGAGACTACAGGCACCGGCCACAATGCCCGGCTATTTTTTGGTTGCAGCCCTCATTGTTGTTTGGCCCGGGCTGGATTCAAACCTGACAGCTCAGGTGTATATGACTGGCACCTTAGCTGCTTGAGCCATAGGTGCTGAGCCTGCTTACGACTCTTAAAGAGGAGGTCTGGCAGGCTCAAAGCACTTTTGTGTTTCTGAGGGACATTTTGTGGAATAGACAGTCTTCTTCATTTTGCTGCTGAGAAGAAAGGGTTTGTCCAAGGCCACAGAGTGAGTCTGTGAACAGTGGGAGCTGGAACTCCCAACTGCCTGGCCAGGGCCGGTTTTGCAGCCCAGCTCCCAGCTCTGTCTGGTTCCTGATTCATGGTCCCAGGGCTCTGGGCAATTTCATCCTGTGTCAGGGTAGTGTCTCTCACTGCCTTGTCTAACTCTCTCAGAAACTTCTTGTATTTGGGGCCTTAACTGGGTATAAGTCTGGGAATATGGTTGCACCTTGGCCTGGGGTTGGGGACAGAACAGCAGAGGGCCTTGGACCTAGGCTGCCCCTTCCTGGGTTCCATCTATAGCCTGAGGAACCGGAAAGCCTTTCGTAAAGCCTGTGAAGCCTGCCCTAGCGAATCTCACAGGCCCAGTTTCTTCAACAAATAAATAACAAGGAAAAAAACTAAAGAGGCAGGGTGGGAGCTGTTAACAGATCAAAGTGTATGAAAGTGTCCTGAGGGCCATGCTGGGGTCCTGATTTGAACAAATCAACTGAAAAAGACATTGGTAAAACAGTCAGGAGAGTTTGAATAGTGATATTATGATATTTGGGAATTAGTTTCAGAAGTGGTAACGATAGGGATAGATCCTGAGGTATTTACAAATCAAACAGTGGGATGTTTGGTATCAGCCTCAAAATGACCCAGTGTGAGTGGCATGGGAAATGGGGGTCAGGGTGGCATGGTCACGAAGGCAATTCCTGCCTGGGCAGTGACCCTTCAGCCTGAGGCCACCTCTCCTAGAACGCAAGTCTCACCCCCAGATAAGGCGCCCAGACTCAGGCTCTGCCCTTGCAGGAGCTGGGGAGGCCCTGGACCCCCATGGGGCCCACCCCGAACCCACCTGCCCTACTACTCACACCGCTCCTTCTGACCTGCCAGGCTCCAGCCACTTGCCTGCTCCTGCCCAGGCCTTTCATTACTCAGGACAGGTATTATTAGCCTTTGATTTGATTAGTGACTGGGCTGCACTTCCTGGGTTTTCCCCCCAACCTGTAGGATGTAAATCAGCTGCATCCCTCCCAACTCATGCCTGCATGTTGGGTCTAGGAGCCCTGGGGGTGGCTGAGGCCTGGGCTCACTGGTGCACAGAACAAGAGTGGCCTGGCTTGGGCTTGACCTGAGGCATGAACTTTGGGAAGCTCAGGCCCTTATGGGTCTGGCCCGCGCCTATCCCTGGGCCTGCTGTCCTGCCCCACAGCACACAGCCCAGGCCAGGCTGCTTTTGAGTGAACTCTCCCACCTCCCAGCCCCACTCAGGCACTTTCCTCTTCCTGGACACCTTGTCTTGTTTCATTGCATGGTCAGCTCCTCCTGCTCCTCCTTCAAGGCTTTACTGAGGTATCAGCTCCTCCAGGGAAGCTGTCTCTGATTGCCCCATCCCAAATCAGCTGCTCATGCTCTATGCTTCCTTGGCCTCGTCTTAAACCCGTCAAAACCCTGGTGAGACGGAGCACCAAAGCCAGGCAGGCTGGGTTTGAATCTGGGCTCTGTCACATACCAACAGGAGGTTTTGGTGGTGATTTACCTAACTTCTCTGGGCCTCCATTTTCTCTTCTGGAAAATGATGTACTGACACTGCCGGTCTTAGAGGCTGTTGTGAGGATGAAATGATCTAACACGGTTACATACTCCCAGCAGGTACTTGGCACATAGTTAAGTTCTCAATAAATGATGTCACTGTAGGCCTTATTACACTGGATCGTGACTTCATTTCTGTGTCTTCCCAGCTCCTCTGAGACCTCCTGGGGCATAGGAGGTCCAGCAATAGCCAGAGCTGGAATGTGAGAAATTTAAAACCCAAAGAAAGGCTATAGGTGCTGAGGAAGAAACCTATGAAAGATGAGAAGGACTCAGGTGTGAAAGAAAGGGGGAAGGCACTTGAGGAAGCAGTGATAGCCAGACAGTGGAGGTAGGACAGGAGAGGAAATACAGACGGTCAGCAAGCAGAGAATGCTCTATCCCATCAGTTATCAGAAAAATACAGTTTAACAATGAAAATTGGTCCATCATCTGTCATCTGTCAGGTCGGCTAAATTTTAAAGTTTGATAATATCAAGTGCAGGAGGTGATTGAGGGAAGCACAGACTTGAGCCTGTTGGAGGGAGGGCAACTTTCCAGTACCTATTACAATACAAAATGCACAGCCACCAGCAGACGTCACTGAAGCCTAGTGTGCAGACAGTGGAGGTGCCTGTCCAGCAGAGATGTCTGAGTAAACAGCATGCATAAGTCATAGCCACAGTTAGAATACACTCTAGAAGCTTGTGGGGATAGATCATCAAGTGGAAAAAACAAGTTACAACATGGTAACCAGTGTTGATAACATACATATCACCAGTGTGATGTCTTTTAGTGAAACAAAACCAACAAATCTCACACACACACACACACACACACACACAGATGTCATACATGAGAAATGTGACACAATATGACATGACTCCCTGAAGGTGGCAAAAGGGATCAGTTTGGGTGTGGGTCAAAGAGAACTTCAGCCCTATTTGTAACAATTTAATTTTTACTTGGAGATTTTCATTACTTAAAATTTAGCTGATGTGATATAAATTATATATTTTAACTCTTCAATCTAATTATATTAACGGTTAAAATGCACATGTGGTAAAGAAAAAATTCAAACAGTGCAAAAGGGAGACAGTGAAAAGTAACCACTTCTCCCTTTGTGTCAGTGAAAAGTAACAAAACCACAGGTGGGCTCTGGGAGGGCAGTTTTCTAAGGAGAGATGACAAATAGTTGCATTGCCAGTAACTTTCTGCCTACTGAACAGGAAAGCCCGCAGTCACCGCAGTCACCGTGGGGTCTCACTGTGCCCTCTGCTTGCATACCTCCAGGGTCAGGGGTCTCACAGAGCAGCTGGCTTCCTGGGGGGGTCAGCCCTGAGGGTTAGAAAGCTCAGCTCTGTCTGTTGAGCAGACTGTGCCTTTTAGAAATGGACCCATTGGGCTGGTTGTTGCTCTCTGAAGCCACACACATCATCTTGATCAATGTGCAGTATTGTGGAGTTTTATTTATTTATTTTTTTGAGACAGAGTCTCAGTTGCCTTGGGGAGACTGCCGTGGTGTCATAGCTCATAGCAACTTCAAGCTCTTGGGCTCAAGTGATCCTCTCGCCTCAGCCTCCCAAGTAGCTGGTACTATAGGTGCTCACCATAATGCCCAGCTAGTGTTTTAAAGGCAGGGTTTTGCTCTTGCTCAGTCTGGAACTCCTGAGCTCAAGCAATCCATCGGCTTCAGCCTGCCAGAGTGCTAGGATTACAGGTGTGAGCCCCACGCCCCAACTACTGTGGAATTTTAAACCCAGCATATGTTACTCATGAAATGAAAAATAAAATTGAGCTTGATTTCTGGGATGGCTGGAAATTGGATGGTAGGGTTCCTTATGTTGGTCTCACTGCTGATCACAGCTTTTCTCAAATACAGTTTACAGATAATGGATTTCATTTGCTTTCTATTTTCTTCCATTAGAAGTATAATTTACATGCAATGAAGTGCACACATTTTAAATAGGAAGTTCAGTAAATGTTTATAGTTTGCACAGCCAGGCAACCAGAGTCCAGATGGAGACTCAGAGTGCTGGCAGCACAGGGAGGCCCCTCACCCACCCCAGGCAGTGCGCGCACCCCCACCCAGAGGGCCAGTGTTCTGTTCTATGTCGAAGAGGCTTTGCCTGTTCCTGAACTTCGTGTGGGATTATTTCACAACCCATGAAAACAGATTACTCTTTCACATTTGGTCATCTCAGAAAAGGTGCTGGAGGTTTCTGAACCTCATTCTGAACTTTCTAAACCTCATTCTGGCCCAGCCGTTTCTGAGCTGTCTCCCAGAGGGACATGCGATTTTAATTTTAAGCTCCCTGGTCAAGGTGATAGAAGAACTTTGGAACCCAGACTACAGATATCTTTTATATTTCAGGGCTCTTCAGCTGGCTCTTAAGCATGTGTGCATTTTAACTCTTTAATTATATGTATTTTTTTAAATTAAGTTTTTATTTTTATTTTATTTTTTGTAGTTTTTGGCCAGGGCTGGGTTTGAACCCACCACCTCTGGAATATGGGGCTGGAGCTCTACTCCTTTGAGCCACAGGCACCGCCCTAATTATATATTTTAACTCCTCAGTCTAACTACATTAAAGGCTAAAATGCATACATGGTAAAGAAAAAATTCAAATAGTGTAAAAGGGAGATACTGAGCAGTGACGACTTCTCCCATTTAGATATACCCCAGACCACAGTTTCCCTCCTGAAGTCAGCACCTGTTAGAGGCTCCTGTTTTCACAGACCTCAGCAAAGTCCAGGCACTTCCACCAGTGTCACCAGAGGGGACATTTCCCCTCACCCTTCATTCCTCCCCACACCTTTTTTTAAACAATTGCTGGCTTGTACACTGTTTATGTATTATATATTTTGCCATTTCTTGATTTAATAAGCCCTGTCTATCAGTTCTTATATTTTTAATGAGCTCTTAAAATGCTCACTAGGAACAATAAGGAGAGGAGAATTTCTGAAGCACTTACTGTGTGTGGCGCTGCTCTGAACACTTCACCGGCACGCCAGATGGCCTCACCTTCTCCTCTCACTGAAGGGATGAGTTCCTTAAGTGGCACTGCTTACTCAAAGGGATATTGATTGTCAAATTGCTCAGTATTTCCCAGGGAGATTGTCCCACTCTGCCGGAGCACAAGTGCGTGGGTGGTATTTTGACCCTAAGGGTGCAGGCCCACTCTTGCTATTTCAGTCCTTTGAGCTCCTTTGAGTGGCTATTGAACCTTCTACTGAGACAGTTATAGAGGTGAGACAAAAGCAAGAGTAGCCAAAAGAGGATGTTTCTTAGAAATGCAGAGAAAGCCCTCATTTTCATCACTGCAATTTACATAGACAACTCAGATGTGCTTAATTTCCCATGCGTTTATGTTAATTTCTCAGAAATCTAGATACCATTATTTTAGCAAAACCCAAAAAAGCAAACAGTAGGGTTTTAAAAAATGAATCCACAACCTTTTGTGAGATCTAATTTCTTTTCTTATTTTAAAAAAATTCCCCTCTTAATTTCTTTGTGAAAAATTAAAGACTTAGAGAAAGGTTAAAAGTATAGTGAAGACTCTTGGGCCCTCCACCTAGGTCCGACAGCTCATCACATTATTGGTATCTATGTGCCATCTCCCACCTCTGTCTCTACCTTCTTGCTGAGACTCCAACCAGCAACTTGCAGACATCATGACTGTTCATTCCCAGAGGCTTCAGTATATACTTTCTAAAACAATGGACACTCTCTTGCACAGGCTGTTGTGATCACACCTATGTTGGCTAAGATCTTCTGCTCTCTCGGCCATATGTAAATGTCCCCAGTGATTCTAAGAAGTTTTTCATGGCTGCTTCTTTTGAATCAGACTCTGACCCAAGGCACATATTCATTGCATTTGGCTCTTTGGTCCTTTTGCATCTAGAGTAGTCCCCTTCCTTTTTCTCTCTTTTGCCTTCTTTTCTTTCCTTCTGTCTGATGTTGACTTATGGAGAGACTTCTTATGTGTTATGGAATGTCCCACAGCTGGATCTCTCTGGCTATTTCTTCCTGGTATTGCTTAACATGTCCCTTTGTCTACAGAGAGCTCTTGGAGGCATATGATGGCAGCTTGGTGTCCCATAGCAAACCACTGTCTTTGCAGTTAGTGCCACATGTGGGTGATGCTCTAGCACATTGTGAACATGCTGGACCTTGACAGACAGGACAACCTTTCTCTTGATCACTCTGGTGTCCTTGGCTGGAATACATATCATACCTGCAAGGTGGGCACTAGGAAATGCCCAATTGACCACACTAATGTTATTCCCACTAACCACATGTGGCTTTACCTGTCTCCATATCTTCAT